TGACATCTTTAAATACAGTATCTAATGTTGTCTCTCTTACAGGCTTAAGAAAAAGAGAGAAGAAAGAGATGCAGCTGGTCAGTTACGTCCAGAATGCTAATACCAGCATCACCTCCATCATCCCCACTCTCGCCACCATTGTCACCTTCATTGTACACACTGCGTTGGGCTTAAAGCTCAACACATCTGATGTGAGTACAATAACAATTTTGGCTACCATTCCCACTTTGTGTTTAAAGTAGCTAATAGAGAAGCACAGTATTTGGGAGACAAAGAATGTGAAACTAGTTGGACAGAGCAGAACGCTCTGGTCATTTACTTACGAAGCGGAGGCATTTATATATATATCTATATACATTTTTTTATATTATCTTTCAGTTTGTTGCCAGTTGTTGGTAAGTGGTCCTTTTTCCCTCCTAGCTGTTTGAGCTTGTACTAAGTGAGAGCAGGCTGCAGACAGGTGCAGGCCACTAGAGCACTGTGATCCATTTAAAACAAATATCTGACCCTGTTCAAGCATCACTGTCTGTTTTACTAGGCCTTTACTACCATTGCCATCTTTAACTCCATGAGGTTTTGCCTGGCTCTAATGCCTTTGTGTGTGAAGGCTCTGGCTGAGGCTGCTGTGTCAACAAAACGACTGAGGGTAATTTCTTTACAGCTTTTACAAAGTTTTGCCATGTAATGTCAACCTGCAGTGTAAACTTGATTTTAGTGCTTCTTTTATTGTTCTCTCAGTCTTACACTTCTTTTGCTATACTTAATATTACTAACTTATTTTTCACTGCCACGGATTTTAGTTGCAATCACAGTTTGAATTGAATAAAAATGAAAAAGCTTATAATCACTTTTGTGGTTTCAGAAAATACTGCTGGTCCAAAATCCAGACCCTTACCTGATGCAGAGGAAAGACAGTGACTCAGCCATTGTGATGAAAAACGCTACACTTTCCTGGACCAAACCAGATAGGCTGCCACACCCCCCGCCCAGCTCAGCCAATGGGATAAAGGGGCAAAAAATGGACGAGGTATCTCAGAATGATAAGACTGAAACCTTGCCAACCCTGAGAAACATCTCTTTCATACTGCCTAAGGTATGCTTTTCCACTGATAAGGAGAAATGAGGTTAATGAGACTGGGCTAAAGCAAAGCTTAAAATCTGTCTTATTTTCTGAAGGGCAACCTGCTTGGTGTCTGTGGGAATGTGGGAAGTGGAAAGACGTCACTGATTTCCTGCATTTTAGAACAGGTTGGTTCTGCCTTTGGCCTTTTGTCCCTTTTTTCTCAGACCATCTCTGCAAGCCTTTGATGGGACTTTTGGCATTTTCATTGGCTGTTATTTTTCACTTTTAAATTGTCTGCCTCTTTGTTAAGCAAATATTACACAAAATGGTGCTTTTTAGATGCATGGTGCTGTCCCTGAATCAGTTTACTGATGTCTTGTAATGTGTAGCTTTTCTCAGGGTTGTTTGCTCATTTTGTATTTTAGATGCACCTTCTGCAGGGCTCTGTTATAGCAGATGGGACATTTGCCTACGTTTCCCAGCAGGCCTGGATATTCCACGGAACTGTTCAAGAAAATATCTTGATGGGGGAACCCCTTGACCAGGCCAAGTAATTATTGACATAAATTATTGTTCCTAATTATAAATAACTATGGTGAGAGCTGAAAATGGCAACAAAAGGAACTATTTTAACTACAAGGATGCCATATGGGATATTAATGTGTTACAACTGTTCTTCATTGCTGCACTGACATATGCTATTACAACCCGGTCTTTCTTTTGAGCTTATATTTGTGAGTTTGCATCTGGTAAGGCAGGCAAACAAGAGCATGGTCATCTGATAGGATTATCATCGGAAAACCACTCTGTGCTCCTAGAGTGAGCTTGCTCACTCGTGCACAGTGTTGTATTGAGCAACGTCATTCATCTCATGACTATGGCCGGACAATTATCATTATGTGTGAAGGAAATATTGTAAGAAAAGTTAATATAGACCACATTCTGACAGCATTTTCCAAAGCTGCACACAAAACGGTGTATTTCTAGGCTTTGTAATTATTTTCTTGGCTCTATATCATGTGCATCATTTGTGTGCAGAAACAGTCAAACAAGGAGTAGAATGAGTTTGCTCTCACACAGACTTTCAGGGACCATATGTCTGAGTATGTATGCAGGAGTTAAACACAATCTATGTTGTTGCTGTGGCTTTTAGCTGGAGGCTGTTGATTATAGTGTAAAATGTAGTATGACTAAAACAATTCAAAGCAATATTAACTGTATTATAATTGACTAGAAAGCTGAGTAAAAAAAACATTTTCTGAAAGCACAGTCTTTTTTTCAAACGTTTGTTGATTTTAGACAGACATACAAAGTAATGTATCTCATTTTTGCTACTGTTTATTATTAACTAAGTTAACTTAGTTCACTATCAGTCGTGACTTGAACATTGTTTTGTTGAATACACAGTACCTGGCTATTTCTGGGATGTCAAGACAATAAGTGTCTAGTTAATTAACTGCACTGATACTCCACAGATACAACAGAATTCTGGATGTCTGTAGCCTTAGAGCTGATCTGAAAATACTCCCATATGGTGATCAAACTGAGGTAGGAGCTCTCTCTCATACTCTGAACTTCCAAAATAATTCTTTGTAAGGTCCTTCAGTGAAGTATTTAAGAATGAATAAAATCTTGCTGCATCATAGGAAATCTCCTTTAGGCACAATATTGACACTGAAAAGAATGTCGTATTGGCAATCTTACCAATAAGTAGCTTACTCTGCTAATGTATTGTAATCTAAACAACTGTGATTGATTTGAGAAAAGGATTTGAGCCAAGGTTTTAAATACAGTTACTGATCATACCAATACTACTAATAATTTGCTTTTACAAAGGAGGCAATGCTTGCTGTGTTCTTATTATATGATATATAATACATTATTTTGACAGAAATACATTGTTGTGTGAGTTGACCTGTGAATTTCCTGACATAAATGATACTGCTGTAGGCCACTGTGCTGTTATTGACTGTGTCACTGTGTGTCCCTTCTTTTTTGCTGTGTCATACATATCTCCATGTATTCTAGCCAGTAGTATTAGCAGTTTTTCTTTGTGTTGTTTTCAGATTGGAGAGCGGGGGCTGAATCTATCAGGTGGGCAGAAGCAGAGGATCAGCCTGGCCAGAGCTGTCTACTCCAATAAAGACATCTTCCTCCTCGATGACCCCCTGTCAGCTGTCGATGCCCATGTGGGGAAACATATCTTTGAAGAGTGCGTCAAGAAGGAGCTCAAGGGAAAGTCCATCATACTGGTTACTCATCAGCTCCAGGTAGCAAATTAGGCACTGCTTTGTTTTTTAACAGACATTTGAATTCTTAGTAGTTTATTGTCAAAGGAGGAATAATTACAGGAAATACATTCTTGCCAATAAAACACTGATACTTCTCTAATGTCTGTACACTAAATATTAAGCTGCAGCCAGTTACAGAGATGGAAAGAACCTGGCTCTGTCCGTTCTTTTTATCAGTCCAAAAAAATGAAAGTGATATATGAACTTAAAGGGGTGGTGACAGTATGTGTCAGACTTCTTGCCTGGAGCAGTAACTTCCTGAAGTCTGCCTTGAGGTTTCCAGGAAACTGGTGGAGAGTCTCAGGAAGAAAGAGCCCTCCACTCCTCTCCCATGATAGTTTTCCAGCTGCCAAAGCTAAGCTTGCTCAGGAGTGTGAACTTGGGATAGACTTGGTGGACAATTGGTGGGAAGCTGCTCTCAAAACAAATTGAGAATGCAAAAATCCCATCGGAGTGCTAAGATGGTTTTGCCGACACGGCTGTCCTTGCTTTTGTCTTGTAGTATTTAGAGTTCTGTGATGATGTCCTGGTTTTGGAGGATGGGGAGGTCCTGGAGGCTGGAAACCATGAGGCCCTGATGAAAGCCAATGGACGCTATGCTCAGCTCATCAGCAACTACCAGATGGAACAGTCCAAAGTAAGACTGTCACAAAAGATATAGCACAAAAGGCTGCTGTTCTCAACATGACCGTGTTTCACTAGCAGTAAAACCTTTTCACCAGATCTTTATAGTTTTACTGACCCCAGAACAATAAACAAAGTGATTTGCTGTAAAATGAGGCAATGTGGTCCATAACTTCAGTTACAATAAAGATAATAACATACATAAACCATGATGATGTTTTCCAGTAACGCTGCTACATGAGTTGTAAGATGTAAGTCAGATACTGAGAAATGTAAATTTATGTTATAAACTTTATAGGATACATGAACATGTGTTCAGCATTGTTTCAGCATCTACTGTTGAGTTAAATTAAATTGTTTTCAGGTCATCCATACTCAGTACTATCACTGTTATTTTCTTACCATTTACAGACTCAGAAAGAGGAGGAAGTAGCACCACCCAAAGATACTGCTCAACTAAAGGAGGTCAAGTTAAAAGATGGCACAGACAATGGAATAGTGAACCTGGGTAGGGAAACCATGAAAAACAAATCTTTGTTAGGGTAACACCCACAAAATATTAGATGGGATAGTTTGTGATGCCTCAGTTCATCCACAGAAAACATAAGATGAAGGTAAATAAGGCTGGAGGTCATTACAGAGTTTAGTGCAAACACACACCAGCAATAAGTGCAGCACATGCTCTAGGAAATGGTGAGAATGTAACCCTAAAACAGTTTAGAGAGCAGAACCAGTCAGATCACAGTTAGAGGAATATTGTAGGATTGGTGCAACATGTTGCTATACTCTTGGCACAGTTCTTTATGGAGCAAAGTGTCCGATTGTGAAATAGCCAATAAACTGTATAACCATAAGCAGGTAAAAGGTAGTGTCATGAGTCAGTTTGGGTAACAGAGGAGCAAAGTAAGGGCAATGGAAAAAAAGGTTTTCTAAAACAATAGCAGACATGGCTGATAAACGGATAAACATCTGTGCTTCCTTTTAGCATTTGACCTGTCTGATGAAAAGGATGATGGAACAGCAGCTGACCAGAAACGTAAGTCTAAAATATTTATTAAATGTGATTGAAGTTCAGGCTCATATGCCTCCGTTTCAATGTGGAAACTGAAAGACAAAGAGTGCACAGGTTAAACAGCCAGTATGCTTCAACAGAAGGGCAGAAAAGCCTAATCGTTCTGGCACAGGTACTGGGAGTTGTGTCTGATAAACACATTCCAATGAATCAGGACTCATGCTGATGCTAAGGGAAGGTTTTTTAGTTGTGCTATGATTGTATAAAATCATTTTGTTCCTCTGTAGCTGCTGTCAAACATGATGACCAGCTTGTCAGTAAGGAGTCCTCCACAGAAGGCTCTGTCCCCTGGAGAGTTTACCACCAGTACTGCCAGGCAGCTGGAGGTCTGATGTGACACACAATCTAACCCATGCATTAATAAGCAGTTCACACATGCAAAACCAGGTTAAGTAAGTTTAGTGTGACTGTGTTTCTGCAGGGTACATCGTCGTCTTCCTCACATACATGAACATTGTTCTAATGATTGGCTCCACAGCCTTCAGCAACTGGTGGCTCAGCTTCTGGCTGGAACAAGGTGATGGGGTGAGGTCTCTCTCTCGCTCTTACACACACACACACACACACATATATACTTTACCCATTCATGAAACACCAGCCCTGCCTGAAATGTGAATGTGAATGTTGTTCTTAGTGTCATTTCTCACAGCTGGATATAATAAAAACTCATACATATAACTCCATACAATGAAAAAGTCTCTTCAGTTGCTCCATGTCACCCAGTCTTTCTAAAACAATGCAACGGCAAACATCTTTTTCGACAATGGTTGGTCAGGTGTTCAGAGCTTGAAGAGCTCTGCAAATTTCTTTGTCCTTTCAACTACTTCACTGTCCTTGTTTACTGCTGAACTACAGAGATCACAGCTACTCTGGCGCCACTGGAGGTGTTGTGCTTTTAAAGAATCATGCACCACCCAGGTGTTTCCTGCAGAGGGAGACATGACTTCAGTATTTACAGGCCTAAGCACAGTTGATAGCCATAAACACTGGCCAGTGCGGCTACCACTATCCTCTGCAACAGAACCAGACAAGGAATTTTTCAGATACCACAGCTGGAAAGCCACATGAAGCTGTTATCTGGACTGTTATCCTCCAGTATGAGATGATGGCTTGTAGTCATGACCCAAAGAGACAGTTTATTCATCACACATTTTATATTAAACTGGCATGGGTCCAACATTTGACATTCTCTTCTGTCTTTTTTATTGGCTTAATACTAACCCAGTGTTTGCCTTGAAAGGAACTGCACATACAGTAATTGTGTGTCATCACACCTCTGTTTAACTTTGGACTTAAATGTCAGTCATAAGGAGGCATCAGAAAAGCAGCTTTGTCCTTACAGATGAAGTCAGTGACTCTCATTATACACAGTAAATATTCATGCACATTGATTTCTACTGTGAACTACAACAGTGTACTGACTTATGTCACATGAGCAGATTTACTATGTGATAGTTCCACATGTCTGAACTATATTATTTCAATACTGTATACACAGAAGCATAATCCTTCTTGTAGTTAAAATACCACTGATTTTCATTTATGTATCTGACCCTTGTCTGCACTGAGATCACACTGTATTTTCTCTGCTTTGTCCCAGTCATCTAATAAGTCATCTTCAAATGTGGGCGACATCTCAAACAACCCGGATCTGCAGTACTACCAAACAGTTTATGGCATGACAGTGCTTGTCATGGTGACACTGGCCGTCATCAAATGCTTCTCCTACACTCATGTCACTTTGAATGCGTCTTGCAATATCCACAACACCATGTTCAAGAAGGTACCGTACAACACAGACATCCCAACATTACCATTTTAGTTGGACACAGATACATTTAATAGTAGAAACAGTGTTCACTCAGAACAAGTAAATGAAATATGTTGCAATTCAAAACTCAGTTAAAAAACCATCAACTAATGTGTCTAGGGTTCATAAAGGATGACTTCCTTCAGACCTGCCACATTGTTTTGTTTTCTGTCTCAGATCTTTGCCAGTCCCATGAGCTTCTTTGACACAACACCCACAGGACGCATTCTCAACCGCTTCGCTAAAGATCAAGAAGAGGTGGACACTGTGCTTCCCCTGCACATGGATCCTTTCTTGCAGTTCACTCTGCTGGTCACCTTCACCATAATCATCATCTCATCTGTCTTCCCCCCCATGCTGGCAGCTGTGGCTATTATCGGAGCTTTGTTCACCCTCATTCTCTTGTGAGTTAATATCAAATAAAAAGTGGTGCATTTATCAAATTTAGATTGTCAGAGAAACTGCTGCAGTCCTAAAAGTAGACTCATGGATGAACAGGAAAGAGCTGTTTAAGGAAAACTAAATGTCATTTGGAGTTCTCTGCAGTATCTTCCAGAGGAGTATCCGTCAGATGAAGAGGATGGAGAACATCAGTCGCTCTCCCTGCATCTCTCTTACTACTTCTACCCTCCAGGGCCTGAGCACCATCCATGCCTACAACATAAGAGACAGCCACATAAAACTGTAGGAGCTCATTAACATAATATGCTTTATATTTTAGCTTTTTGCTTGCTGACATTTCAGGCTTACTGAGAAATGATGCTTTGTTGTCATTTGTTTTGGGCAGTTTATTATTAGATACAACTACAGTAGTTAAAACTGCAGTCTTCTATAATTATCCTCACTAAGTCCTCCTTCATGAACATAATGTCCGGTTTTTGTTGAAACTCTTTCTCAGAGGTGTTGATTCAACTCTGCTGTCATTTTGGAGACTGCAGTTGCTCTTGATAAACTGTACTCTGTTATACTGAGGTGTTTTTGTTGCTTAGCCTAGCTTCACTGATATAAATGGTGTGGACAAAATAATATTAACACCTGTCAGTTTAACACAAGACAGTTCTACCTAATAAGCTGCCACCTGCATTACTGTTCATACAGTGCAGGGGCAGTAGGTGATGTCTTAGTGACAGTGTGTGATCCTGGTCTGTGCTGTATATGCTGTCCTATTGATGGTGTACACAGACCCTGATCTGTCCCACGTTGTGTTCTAGGTTCAAGTACTTGAATGACATCAACTCCAATCAGTATCTGCTCTTTCACTCTGGGACACGTTGGCTCTCCTTCTGGCTCGACTTCATGGCTGCGACCATGACCTTGTTGGTGTCTCTGTTCGTAGTGCTCAGCAGTGATGAATTCATCAGCCCAGCCTTGAAAGGCCTAGCTATGTCCTACACCATACAGGTAAATTCATTCATGTTTGGTTTATTTTTTGAGCCATGTTGAAAGGTACTGTATGATACGTGTTTACACAATGCGTGTGTATGTTTTCCAGCTTACAGGTATGCTTCAGTATGTAGTCAGGACGGCGACAGAAGTTGAGGCGAGGTTCAACTCGGTGGAGCGGTTGCAGGAATACATCATGGTCAGGCTCTAGACTTTTATGTGTCAGAATAATTATGACCATTTACACACAGATTGCTGGCTACTACCACTGGTCTTCTTGAGACTGTGAAACTTCTCAACTAGTTGCTTGAAGGCCACAGTTTGCTAACCCCTGGACTTAGGAACATACTGTAGCTTATTTGAAATCTGTTAATGCTTCAAACACTGCTTGAGGTTTTTAAGTGGAGGTATTCACCCAGTAATTAATTAACCACCTATTTCATGTTATTAATTCAGTACAAGACCCGGTTCCTCCTAAATTGTTATCTATATCAATCTGCAGCTACCTCCTTATATTGAACCTTCAGGTGTTACAGTACTGGGAAACGTTTATGAACCACTACACTTCGGCTCTTTGAGGAAGTGTTTAGTTTGTTCTGAAACAACCCATAAGCCACATATGAGCGTGATTTTTGTGCACGGTGTTTGGCTGATATTGGTTAACTTCCCAGGACTGGACACCCAGCTTATAAGATACAAGTTGGAATAAGTAGATAATTGAAATATTTATCTAAAGTATTTTCTATTCAGTTCTATTTTGAGCCAGCAGTTTGGTCTTAATAATTACTCATCACTACTTAATTCTTGAGAGGTTAATCACATTTAAATCTAATCATATTTTAGCATAAGGAGTGAATATCATATGAAACAAACAAAAGAATTGCTGGATATCCTTTTGTTCATTTTTGTTGTGGGTTTTAAAACACTTCTGTCTTAGACTGTGTCCTCTTATCCAGTCCCACTCCTCTTCTGGTATTCGGACAGCTGTAGGTTAGAAATGTTGTATCTTTCTGTCAACATCCAGGGAAATGCTTGTAACTACTCTCCTCCACCAGCTGTCTACCACAATCACTTAGCATTTTCTACAGTTATCTGTCTTACACATATTCAGTTGCACTCACAGTAAATGTTATATCTGATTAAAATTCAGGAATCTCATATTCAGTTACACAAAACTTGTTAACACATCTCATCTAAAAAGGATCACTATATTATTCTGAATACAAAATAATGAATACTTGATTAAACATTGTCTACTGATTAACCTTAACACTTCATCAAAATTCTTAATCAAATCTTTACTTTATGCATAAAGCCATTATATTTTAATCAGCTTCTTTTCAGTAAACTCAGTGGTTCTTCTGTTTCTTTTAATCTCTTCTTGTTCACATACCAACTTCCTCTTTTTCTACTACAGCAGTGTGCACATACAATAGTACATCACTTAAAATCATACATTAGACTCCGACTGCTCTCTACAGCAACAGTATCACTGCAGTTGTGCTTTTGTCCAAAGTCCAGAAAGTCGACTGTGGAGGTTCCTTTCTCAAAGTAGTTGTTTATTGTGTGCAGACTTGCAAGCCAGAGGCCTCCAGACACGTAAAGGAGGCTCAAATCCCAGAGGACTGGCCAGAGAATGGTGCCATCACCTTCAAAGGATATAAGATGAGGTACAGAGAAAACACACCTATTGTCCTCAATGGGCTCGATTTCCTCATCCGAGCTGGAGAGAAGCTGGGCATTGTGGGAAGGACAGGCTCTGGTAAGACCCTGAATCCTGTAGCTCTTACTCATCACTGATGACAGACAGATGGGGTTTCATGTAAATGGACAGTTTGGAAAATGATCAGTCAATCCTGAGTACACTTAAAATAAGAGTTACTGTGTAATGCTTAGCCACAGAGAGCCAGGGATTAGCTGAGTGTGTCGCATTCCAATACAGTAGCAGGCATACATGTAGGAAATTAGTAAATATATAAACTAACTCCTCATAATTAGTCTTTTTCTATGCAAATTTGAAAACCTATGTAACAGCAGCATCTTTGTGTTGAAATGTGGAACTGACACAGGCTGTTGACTGTATGGTGATGAAGGAAAACCTGTTAAGGTCTGAGTTACAGTGCTTAGGTACAGTACTCTATGCTTTGTATTGGTAGGGAAGTCCTCTTTAGGTGTGGCTCTGTTCAGGCTGGTGGAGCCGGCAACAGGAACTATCCTGATAGACGGAGTGGACACCAAGTCTATCGGTCTGCAGGATCTGCGCAGCAAATTGTCCATAATCCCCCAGGATCCTGTGCTATTTACTGGCACAGTCAGGTATTCTTAACTAACCCCAAACTCCACATAATTTTATGTTTACACACAGACACATTGTTCTTATTGCTGAGGGTTAGGCTCTGACCAGCCAACTGTTTGCCTGTAGGTACAACCTAGACCCCTTTAATCACTACACTGATGAGGAGATCTGGGCAGCACTGGAGAAGACCTACATGAAAGACTCGGTATAATATCGGCACAGCATATGAACAGCTTCATTACAGTGTGTGCTTCTGTTTCCAGACTAGCTCTTGCCAGACAGCATGCAGCCTTTTTTTGACTTAGCCTATTGATTTTCACAGACACACCTCCCAAAACATTTGTCACCTGACCTTGTGATTACTCCCAGTAAGGACACTGTGTACAAGCACAATGACACCAGTTGGTGATGTAGTGTATTATATTATTATTTAGGTTATGTGAAACCTCTAAGCTGAAGTTGTAGGAGCAGTGCTGGTAGTAGTAGCTGCCATAGCAGTGTAATTATGTTTTGAACTCTTATTTTTGAATATTGATTATTATATTATCATATTACTATGTTAGTATTATGGATGCATTATATCTAAGTAGCATTTTACTGCTTTGGTTTGTCAGGGAGGAGCTAATTTGAACTATTCTACACATTGCTAGGTAGTTAAATCTAGAACAATGCAGCATATTTTATAATCTCATCATACATTTTTATGTAAAACCTTGGTTACTTATTACTCTTCAAATGTAGTAGTAATGGACCTTCTTGTCCAAATCTCTGCAAATAAGTGAGTTTCACAAATTGTCAAACTATTTCTTTGCTTGATCACTGTCAGCCCAGGTCAGCAGTCGTGGTAGCAGTAGTAAAAGTATTGTTGTGTTTCCTCAGATCACCAAACTGGAGAGGAAGCTACAGGCAGAGGTGCTGGAAAATGGAGAGAACTTCTCTGTAGGAGAGAGACAGCTGATGTGTATGGCCAGAGCACTGCTCCGTAACTCCAAGGTTCATCTGCGCCTCTGCCTATTTTTCATTTGGGCTTGCACACATTTACATTTTTTGTGCTGCTGAACAGTCGAGTCCTTCGATAATTACTGCTGTGTACCTGTTTGTTGCAACACTAGTCAAACTGTGTAGCTGCCTGTGATTTTTCTGTTCACATTAGCATTGATTACCTCACCACGATCAGTATCTTTGGACAGTTACTGGCCGTGCTATCTCCTTGTCCTACTGTATTTATCATATTATCACTACTCTCTATTGTCTTGTTCCTCTCTACATATCATTCTGTGCACTTGCAGCTAATCCCTCCCAAGCCTTCTCTACCATGTCCTGTTAGGTTCATTAACGGTCCCTCCTGCTGTTCAACAGATCATTCTGTTGGATGAGGCAACAGCTTCCATCGATGCAGAGACAGATGCTCTGATCCAGAACACCATCAAAGAGTCCTTCCAGAAATGTACCGTGCTCACCATCGCCCACCGTATCAACACCGTGATGCATGCGGATCGTATCCTGGTTATGGACAATGGAAAGGTAACAAACGAACACAAAGTAAAGATAAACTTTGTGTTGTCCTCACCCTAGATTTACAATAAGTGTTCTGTCCAACAGGTGGCAGAATTGGACCCTCCAGATGTGCTGAGGCAAAGACCAGACTCTCTGTTCTCCTCACTCCTGACAGCTGCTAACACTGTCAATGCCTGAGCCATTTAAGACCTGTGAGGCCGTAACACTGCACAGTGATCCCCATAACAAACTAATAGTCATTCATTTACACGTACAAAGCTGTATCTTAATCAGTATTCTTATATTGTAATCTTTATGGGTGTGCTTGTTTCAGGACTAGCTGAAAAGAAGAACTTGGATTTTAAACTTACTCCAGAAATAAATAGTGATATAGTTTTTTCTCCTGCTGGCCAAAACAAATACATGAACACTGTTTTGCATCGGTTTTTCACAGAAGTGGATATGATCTGTCATGTATATTTAAAGCATATTATTTATTGATTTTCTATATCTTTGTTTGCCGCCACTTTCCAAACCAATGCTGTATATGTGAAGTTTAAGTCTGGTGTGGGAGATGCTCTGCATATGCAAAATGTTTTGAAATAACTCTTGCATTTTTAAGAAATGTACATGTGTATAAAAATGTAGATCATTCCAGATTACTCAGCTGTTCCATAAATGCTCTTGCTGCTGACCAGGAGTGCTAATACATCGTAGAAATTTGTAAGATTTAGTTCTTTATTTCAACTGTGCCATCAAATGCTTTTCTTTTTCTTTGTACTGTCCTGTGATTTGCATTTTAAATGTATTTGTCCAGTCATTATTAGCATTGTATATAAGAATCAAATCGTTGTATTGCCCATTTCTTTTTTTTTACTGCACATATGGCTGCCTATTTTGTAGTAACAGTTCTTTTACTTTCACCAGCTAATTTCACCTTCAGAGCTCTTTATTTTTACACAACCATTTCCATAATGGTCGAAGCCCATTAGTCCCACCACATCCCTCAGTCATGGTGCTCGGCCCCACCTCACTGGTCCCGTCTCCATAATAGAACACAAACATCAACTCCCGAATACATAGTCTCTGCCCATAAGGTACAAATGAGAAAACCGTTTCTGTGACTGTACAGATGTGGAAGGTGGGAAAACATAGAAGGACTTGATTTGGCATAAGATACTGATATTAAAACCTGTTCATTCATACCATGCTGTATCCACAGTGTCCACCTACATCAAGCATACACTACACCTTTCTATGTATCAAATTGCCGAGCAATATGGTGATGCAATAAACAGGTTCCATTAGCCAAATATTTTCCATAATTAACAGAATTTCTTTTATTAATGACAGATAAATCTGAAGGGCATCTGTCATTTTGCCAGATTAGAACACAGAGGGCGAGCTACACTAACTTAAAGATTGGTTATACCCTATTAAAAAGCACAAATGGTTGCTAGGGCATTGATAAACGAGGTGAAAAACAGGAACTGATGTGGTAGAGGAAGGACAACTGAGACCTGCTCAATGCATCTTTCTATCTGGGAGCTGACAGCCTGATGAAGAGCCATGGACTGGGGCAACAGAGATCTATGGATTACAGAGGGGCGCAGCTGCACCTCTGGTGCAGAAAGAGCACTCCTCCTGGTGAAATGATTATGTCAGGATTGGGAAATCTCTTGTTCAGAGGGATTTCTAATCACTACCTGAGAAAAATGTTTCCCAACTTCAAAACTTTGGGTGAAGTGGAGCTAGCAAGTCCAGTCTCCAGCAGAGAGCCGAGCACAGATTCAGCTTTCAGATCAAAATTTTAAGGGCCCTTAGAATCCTAGTGACAATCACCTCTGCAGGAGGCTACAGCAGGTCAGCTGAGTTCTGTTCAGTCCGCCTACCTTCTTGTAAATGGGTTGTTCATATCTTCACGGTAATTATCTAATTTTGTAAAATTGCAGTGTTCATATTTGCTTGTGTACACACACACACACACACACACACACTGATCGCAGTGTTTTTAGTCCCCTTTACTGTCACTGCAAAAAAAAACAACGTAATCTGCTTTATGTGACGTTGATATGAAAAGTGGCTGCACATTAGTTTGATTTAAATTTGTATTTATTCAGTTACCAACTGCACATTTATTCATGAACATTTGTCAAACAAAATAAACAAAAGCCACCATTGTTTCAGAAACTTCCTTTTAGAAGCAGATTGGCTTCAAATTAGACTTAATTTAAATTTAACTTTGATTAAAAATACCAAGCTTCTCCTTCAACAAACAAATACTGTATCAGTGGAAGAGTCATTACACTGGACCTGTGTTTGGGATGAAGGGGACTCACCTGCTGTGATGTATTTGCCAGTCCCAGGTGGTGTTACAGTGTGTGTGAGAACTTTCACCACAGTTTATAGTTTATGTTACTCGGTTTTATAACGTTCAGTTACACAGTCTGCACCTGTGTACAATTACTTCTACACTATTACACATGAAACCATACATGCATGCGTACTTCTATACACACTCGTGCGTAGGGGGGATTCCTCTCACACACGCACACAGACGTAGCCGCACGCACACCCTGCTGGGAGGTGCTAAACCTCTGCTGCTCTGACTTTGTCCGTTTCCTAAGTAAAGCGAACGGGGTTGTGTTCGGTTTGTGTGTGTGTGTGTGTGTGTGTGTGTGTGTGTTTTCTAGAAACACCGACAAAACTCTCCGTGTGTACAGAAGCGTCGGGGTCCGGTTGGGTAAGTGGAACAAACACTCGTCTTTTTATGTGAAGACATCCGCTACTGTCCATCCTCTTCTGCTGTCCACACTGAGACATGTTGCGATGTCCTGGTCTCCTAAACAGCTTGAGTTAATGACAGCCAGTTCTCTGTTCAGCTGAACTGATAAGTAATCTTAGCAACACAGTAGAGAGTTCTTTGTTTTGTTGTGACTGCATGTGAGTACAGTACAGTACAGTACAGTATTTCTATGAAGTACCAAAGGCTCACACCATAAAGCAGCACATGTCCCTACAGGACTGTTAGTGAGTCTACAGGAGGGAAAACCATAAATACATTATGATAACTGTAGTCTCAAGTACAGCTCTTAGAAAAACACCACCTGGACCAGTTATAGAAGAGCAAATGACACTAAAATCATACATTTAAGACTTTTTCCACAACATGTCTATTTTCTGTGTCTCTTGCAGTGTATTCAGCATAATAATGAACAGACAAGGGTAAGGCATCATAATCAGTAATCTGCTAATCATTCATTTATGAAATGCATTTTTCTACAACAAAATTGTTTGGCTACTGATGATTTATGTGGGAAACAATGGGTTTTTATCGCTGTGACAAAAAATGATCAGGAACCATTGTAAGTCTGAACATGCAAGAATGATAAAGCTCTGTGTTCAACAAGACTGCTCTTTTTATATTAGACTGTTTTTTTTTTTGTCAGTACCTGTTGTGGTTTTACAGTTGTTCCTTCATAAGGCAGGTAAGAACCTGACCAACTGATGAGTGGGTGAGCAGAGGTTCCATAAACATTGTGCCTGAGGAATGCTCAAACAGTTGATGGTTAAATTTGGAATATGTCACTTTATTTTTTTCACCATTTCCTGGATTGGATTACCTTTGAATTCAAATCCTTTGAATTCCGCTCCTTAGTTCAGTCGAGACAGCCTCTAGCAGGTCGTGAAAAGTCCTCCAACTTCATTCAGCGTTAACTTCTCTTCACAAGGTGTTGAACTGTCAGTACTGAGGTAACTTACTTGGAGTCAGAGTCCTCTCTTATGTTGATGAGTTTGATTATCAAATTATCTTGGTAACTTTATAGGTATCTTGATGATTTAGTAAGAGAAAGTCACTTTTGGCTTTTCTCATTTAGGGGTCACCACAGTGAATCTTCCCATGTTGACATTTGGCATGTGTTTTACACCGGATGATGTAACCCTGACTTGAACCCGGGCTGTAGTGGCATGAGTGCTGCGCCTTAACCACTAGCCTACCAGGGACATCTTGATAATTTAGTAACCCTGGATTATGAGTAAAACCACATTGTGAGTTTGGAAGTTTGAAAATACATTAAACTTTAAAGCAGCTCAGCATCTGCTTTATGTAGAACCGTGTAGAAACTTGGATGCTCAGTTCCCAGTGCTCACTACACAATATGTTAATATTTACAAAAACCGCTGGTTATTTATAACAGTACTGTCATGTCAATACAGGATTGTGAGTAGAAAAAACATCCACTTGGCAAATCATTTCTTACAAGAAATGAGAAAATACTACTTTGTTTTGTGACTGTTTTAAATGGACACATATTGTAGAAATACAACTTGTTACAGTAACCTAATAGTCTGTAACCACTTGTCCACCAGGTCAGTTTGGCTCCTTTGTACAACTGTACAGAGTCCACGTGTTCCTCAGTGGCATTTCCTTTCCCTCCTAGTTTTCCTAATGGTAGACTATTTGGGGTCTCATGGCGAACAGAAAGAGCAACACTTCTGAAAGACACACTTCTCTTTTTGCATAACATACTGCAGAAATAGAAGATGCACTGTGTCTGTGTGTGTGTTTTACTGTGAGACTATTTCAAGTCCTTCATGACCGAGTTTTTTAGTCAGCTACTGTAAATCAGCTGCTCCTATATGGACTAATACATTTCCTATCTGCTTGATTAGCTGTGCTTGGCTAAACCTGTTACATGCTGTACGGAGACAGTCGGCCTGTAAACAGTGATTCTACATGTCTTATGGTTTGGCGACCTCTAGCAACTATAGCGGCATGAGCTGAGGAAGAAGTTAAGAGCCTGAAAGTTAGGAGGAGGGTTTATAAAAAACTGTGGCAGTTTCACAATCCTAGGAAACTGAGGAGAAAAACTAAAAGAGCTCCACCTGACAAGCATAACAACAACAGGGCTACAACTCAAAGTTCAGGGAACTAAGCAAATAACTCAAAAGCACAACACTCCAACAAAACTGCAGAACAAAACTGAGAATACCACAAACGGATAAGTCCAGAGTCCTGAAGGGAAATGTTCAAAGGTTGCTGGGGCAGAACACAAAGCAGGAGATGTAACCAAGCTACAGGAACATGGCAAATGGGCAGGACGTGGCAAGTAAATGGACCAGCAAGAGGCTGAGGGAAAGGAGGAGTATATATGGGCTAGAGAACAGAGGATAATGAGCAACAGGTGAAAACAATGAGTAGTGGTTGTGCACTGGGGTAAAGCTGGGGCAGGTGAGGTGACACAAAACCAGAGAATCAAACCAAAATAAAAGCACAAGACAGGAAGCAAGTGCAAACTACAACAGTGAGAGGGACAAACGACCATATGGGTCATGTACTGTAGGTCGCAGGCTGTGTTGGTTGTATCACAAAGAGCTGAGAAGACGAGAGGTTGAGTTGACTCTTCTTGCTGCGGGGCTTGGTGTGTGCTTGTTACTTGTCTGTGCTGATGCTCACATGATGTGATTATGAAACAGCACAGGCTCATTTTGGTTCTGTCACTTAAGTTTTTATGACACATGGTATTTCTTTCTTTTATTTGCTGTGATTATACTGACATATTTGTTTCAAAGAAATGAGTCTTGTTCAGTTATTTTCTCTGATGGTTTCATTGCATTCAGTAATATGGCTTCACTTGTTACAGATGGTTACAAGTTACACACAAACAGAGCAGTAATAAAGGTATTGTTGTTTCTAATACCACCTCCTTGAGATCAAGCTTTTAAGTGGAAGAGAAGTTGCTCTTCCTTCCACGTACCTCTATATAAAATCACTGAATATGTTCTTGTGTTTCTTGCAACTACTGTTCCAAAATTCAAACCAGATAGTTGTAATCTAACATCAAAACAATTTCATTGCTTCTTGTTTTGCTTAGGCTAGGGCTGTGCAATATGACCAAACAATTTAATCCTAAATGTTTTTTCAGTGTTATGGACTATTTCCAATTTTAATAAACTTTGTTTCTATTTGCATGAACTCACAACACAACATGATTCAAAAAAGTTTTCTTTATCAAAACTATTTGCCATTCCTCAGTAACTAGAACCATACTGTTACTAACTTGGGTCACATTATTCCTCTTGTTTTGGATGACTGTGACTAATAATCTCAACTTTTCATTTGGGTTTTATTGTTGTTAAACATGATTTTTGTTTTCCATTCAGATTGAACTACACTGAGCACAGCTTCCATCAGTCTATTCCTTCACAGAATATTTACTAAAATGTTCAGAATTCTGGTTCTCCTCATTCACCTTCCTTGTAGACAGTACTAAGGGGTCAAGGGAAATATATGGAAGTAAGTTTGAATTTATGTTTATTATGTTGAGCAGTAGCTTTCAGCAGTAAAGGTTTTGCTGGATCCTCTCTTCTTGCTGTGGGTTCTGGAGGAGGTACTAATCTACTGGACTAGGTTGCACCAGTATTCAGCCCTGAGCTGCTTCTTCCAAGGCTGAGGTGCTTCCTGACCACTGGGCCACACACCCACACGTTTGATGCTAAATATGCCACAGAGGAGCTCAGAAATTACACTCAGTAAATAGAGAAATCAAATAAAACAATATCCAAATATTAGCCTTGTAATCTCCTTTCCTGTGGTTGTATAAAGCTGCTTTTGTTGCTCACAGTAAATAGGTTTCCCTCAGCTCTGCCAACTTAAACAGTAATGGCAGCGTGGTTTGGCTTAGTTAAACTCAGTGGGGATTTGCAGAGACAGGGTCCAGATCAGCAAGTGCTTTGGGTCTGCTCCGACACGGTTCTCGGCAGCAGTTCGTTAATGCTGGCTGCACATGAAGTCCCTCTCTCTCCATGCTGAGTTGTTATGTTACATACACTGTTCAACTGCATGTTGACCTGAGAGTGTTTCTGAATATAAGAACTAATAACATTTGAAATTATAGTAAACGTACATACTGCCTAGTAATCAGTCTTACAGTGGATCCAGAATCTATTCACAGCGCTTAACTTTCTAACTTTCCACATTTATTTATGTTACAGCCTTATTCCAAAATGGATTAAATTAATTATTGTCCTCAAAATTCTACAAACAATGCCCCATAATGACAACATGAAAAAAGTAAGTTTGAAGTCTTTGCAAATTTAATAAAAATAAAAACAAAAAAAAATCATATACATACACTGAACAAAATTATAGACACAACATTTGTGTTTGCCCCATTTTTCATGAGCTAAACTCAACGATCTACGACTTGTTCTATGTACACAAAAGGCCTATTTCTTTCAAATATTTTTCACAAATCTGTGCACTCAAGAAGTGCTCACTAACACAGTAAATCTGTGAGTTTTTCAGTCTAGAGATTCTGCATTTCACACTTCTGAACCTCTGGCTTGAGGGTAGAGGTGTGAACAGTCCCTGCTGGGGGTGGGTGGGGTCCTTGAGGATGGAGGCAGCTTTCCTACGCACCCTGTGGTGGTAAATGCTCTGCAGAGAGGGCAGTGGAGTCCTGGTAATCTTCTCAGCAGTCTTTACCACTCTCTGCAGGTGCTTGCAGTCCATAGCAGTAGTGCTTCCATACCAGACAGTGATGCAGCTGGTCAAGATGCTCTCAATGATGCAGCTGTAGAAGTTGCAAAGGATCCTAGGCGACATGCCAAACCTCCTCAGCTTCCTCAGGAAGTACAGCCCCCGTTGGGCCTTCTTGACCAGCTGTGTGGTGTTAAGTGTCCAAGTGAGGTCCTCACTGGTGTGGACGCCCAGGTATTTGAAGCTGCTCACCCTCTCCA